CCAGAAACAAATGAGACAAACCAAACTCACATGAGAAGGAAAAGAACTGAAAAGTCGGTTGACAAAACAGAAAACTATACTACTGACTTAACATCAAACAATAAAACGAAACAACACTAAATTTCTATCATTCAAATAGATCAATAGTTAAGAAACAAGCACACCAGGATATTGAGCATAACCGAAATACAAACTTAAATTAAGAGTTACCTTTTAAGGTGCAACAAACTGGACAACAACGAGCAAAAGGCAGCGAGACTTCACCACTAAAACGACGACTCTAACGAACTCACGTGAACAGAGAAATGAGCAAAAGACTCTATCAACGCCGAAACTCTCACTCTCTCTGCTTCTGAAACTTATTTCCCAATATTTGTATGTAAACCTTTAATTTAGTAGTTTACTGTATTTCCTTTCAAATTCGAGCCAATTCCTCTCAATATTTTTCTCCAGCCTCAACAATGAAAAATAAGCGATTATATATAGAAGGGAAATTAGGGCTCAGAAATGTGGGCGAAATGGATGAAATCAAATAAGACAAGGGACAAAATCGAAATTCAAACTCCCAATTTTTTCACCATTAAAGGGAAACACCCTTTTCCTGAAGTTTTTCCCCATTCCGGAAGAGGAAAGGGGAGATGGATGCTCTTGATCAATTGAGTGTCCTCACCATGCCACGCGTGACTTTTCTGGTGCTCTTTTCTGCTGCGATAGAATGAATTGAAAGGGACATCAAGGAAGACAACAATGTAGACGTAGTGTACTGCCTACAATGCTATTGCTTTCCATCTACTTGATGCCGTGAACTCTCTTTGTGAACGTTGGAGGTGTCGTTTGATTGCTGTTGCTGCTGCTGTTTCGATCGAACGTGAAGACGCTGTGAAGATGGCGTCTGTGAATTGCTGTTAATTTCTTATGGGAATAACGTTGTTGGGTTCCTCTTTTGGAGTAGGAATGGGCCGGGTCGATTGGAATTACTGATGGGAGATGGGCTGGGATCAAGAACTTGGATTGGTTATTGGCTGAATTTGCCCAAAATGTGGGCTATTGGAAATTGAAGAATTAAGGGAAATAAAGGGGAATGGGTCTTGGTAAAGGAATTGGGCTGAAGCAAATTACGAAATGAGCGTCCCAAACTTTGGTCTTAAAATGGGTTTAAGGAAAAACTAGATTTGGCTACAACTGCAATAGAAATTAATTAACAATTTAGCCAAATAGGTTAAAGGGGTAACTAAAGGGATTAATTTTAGAAGATTCAGCTAGAATTCGAATAGATCGGATTAATATAATTAATTTATGAGCTTCTAAATCTTCACGAGACAAAATAGTTAACTTAATTATAAACTAATTTATTCAAAATTGTAATCATAACTTAAAATAAACTAATATAATAAAACATTTAAGTAAACAAAATCTTTTGAGACGGCTCTTCAAATATTTTAGAATATACTAAATACATATATAATTGTAAAATACTATAAAAATTGACTAGACTTACTTAAAGTAACCTCGAGACATATTTGAATTTTATGAAACTAATTATTCAAATCGTTTCAAAATTGAGAAGCTCGAAAACTAATTATTATCGGGGAGGGTCAAAATTGGGTGTCAACAAATGTCCCTCGTTTTACTCATATTGATGCAAGAAATTCGAGGAAAATGAAATTGACTAATCCAATTTTGACCGACCACAACTTTGTCTTTTGGTAAAGGAATTTGGTACAGACTTTAGGAATTATGGTCGAACCACGGAAGTGGGTTTCCTACATATCTCAGGCTATATTAGAATTCAGGTCACTTGTAGTTCGCTACGCTTGATTTTCACGCACGATTTTGAAAGAATTCAAAAGCCATCCTTATACCGAATTATGGAGGGACCGGAATGCTCGAAAATAAGATTTAAGAGCGAATGATGGAATACAGCTGAGTTTCAACAGTGATGCTGCCTACATATCCCTCAACTTAGGGAATCAGGCTGCTTGTAGTTCGAATCAATCGGTTGAATAGGGAATCTATTAGGCAAGATAACCTTTGGTTGTGGAAAAGCAACAAAGTAAGTCGAGTATGAAAAAGAGGCTTGCAACCTCTTAGCCATGAATGTGGTGCGTTTCACACCCATAATTAAGAACTTACATGGACATGATTTCCAAAGCTCTTGGCACATTGTCACTTGGATTGGAAAGTTGCTTCTGGTGGAGACCAAAAATTTCAGGATGCGAAACTGAAACCAGGAAACCTAAAGAAAAACCCACATGCCTTCTGATAGGGGCGTGGTTTGATTGTGGTGCAAGTTGCTCCTCTGCTCGCGTCCTAAGAGTTTGGTACTCCTCTTTGGACTATGTCCCAATTTGCTGCTAAGAAAAAGTTCCAAGTTGTGCTGCACCCTCTTTGATGTCGTCCGCATCTGTGGTTTGTTTTGGAGAATTCATCCTTCCGGATGCTCTCGACAAAGATTGAGAGAAAACTCATTAGCATAAAAAATGTGATTCAAATGGGAGACAGTGTCTTTTACCGTGTTGACACTTAATTGTTCTCCTTGAACATTTGATGTCAACACCATCGTGTTTGACATAAAGCAAATAAAGCTTGTGTATCATATTTGTAATATAATCTTCTATGTACTCTTCCTTTGATGTCAAAGTAATAAAATAGGATGATGTAATATGTTGATAGTTCTCTTGGTGCCGTTGTTGGTGGTTATCTTGATGTCGCTTTTGCAGAGAAAATGATGTAGCCGATGTTGATCTTCTTGTGATGGGTTGATCTTTCTCTTGCATTGCACGACTCTTTTCTCTTGATGCATGACTCATTTCTCTTGCAATGCATGAATCTTTTCTCTTACAATGCATGACTCTTTCTCTTGCGATGCGTGACTCTTTTCTCTCGCGATGTATGACTCATTTATCTCGCGTTGCATGACTTTTCTCTTGCTATGCATGACTTCTTCCTCTTGCTATGCATGCCCTTCTTCCTCTTGCTATGCATGAATCTCTTCTCTTGCGATGCATGGATCTTTATCTTGCTATGTATGAATCCTCCTCTTGCGATGCATGACTTCTTCTTCTTGCTATACATGCCCTTCTTCCTCTTGCTATGCATGACTCCTTTCTCTTGTTATGCATGACTTCTTTCTCTTGATATGCATGACTTCTTTCTCTTGCTATGTATGACTTCTTTCTCTTGGCACAATTTTCTTCTCTTGTAATGCATGACTTCTTTTTGATGATGCCATCTCTAGTACTGAATGAAAATAATGCTTCACCGGACAACATAGGTGATTTTTTGGGTATCTTCTGGGTGGCGGTATCATCTCAATTGACAATACAATAAAAATGATCCTCGGAGTAGTGGTATCATCTCATTTGACAATATGATATAAATGACTCTTCGGGTAGTGCTATCATCTCATTCGACAATAGGATATAAATAACTCTCCAAGTAGTGGTATCATCTCATTCGACAATACGACATAAATGACTCTCTGGATAGTGGTATCGTCTCATTCGACCATACAATATAAATAACCTTCAGGGTAAGAAATATTACCATATAAGATAATATAATGCAGATAAACGTCTTCCAGGTATTTTTAGTTGCTAAAAATAATAATATTGCTCTCTTCGTGGTTTTCTTTTGTTCCATCTCCGAACATAATTGCAATGTTCATTACGAACCTCGCTTTGCTAAGAATTTGAATGAAACAATGCTACTCATATTCCAAATTCTTTGGTATAAGAAACATAAAATATTTCCTGCATCCATAGAAAAAATTGTCAATTTTGGGGAGCTCTTCGCCTTTTTGACTTCTCCATATTCATTGAATGGAGGAATATGCTGATCTTGAGGCAAACTTATAGACCTACATCCACAGGAAAATTGTTAGTTTAAAAGAAGAACCGATCTGTGTCGATCTCTTCGGTTGTCTTCTCCTTGTCTTGCTATCTCCGGTTGATTTTTCCGATCTACCGCCTCTTGATAGATAAGACAAAATATTTTTACATAACATAGTTGAAACGTGAAAGAATAGTTTTTAAGGAAAATAGATTTTCCAAAGTAATATTTGGAAAAAGTCACTGCCAAGTCTCATGTCACGTCAAACTTAGCGAATGTTTTTTAGGTTAATGCTTTGAGGTCTTTCTGATTACTTGTTGGGAAGTATTCAAAGTTGTTCTAAACTCTCGATGAACCTTATTGAAATTTTTGAGGTCATCCTAAAAATTTCTGTCCTAGTTGTCTTGGCTTAGCTCGAACTGTTGGTAAGTAAATCACGGAATTTTTGAGAGGATCTCAAAAATTCTATCCCAGTTGCAAATCTCAAAGTAACTTCAGCCTTGACTTGTTGGAGAAAATCTTCTTCTCGATAATTTTTGAGTCCCTCTCAAAAATTCTGTCCCAGTTTCTATTGTAAAGAGAAATAGAAATCTTACGGGAGATATGACCGAACCGTTGTGGTGCCTACGTATCCCGTTGAGGCAGGAATCAGGTCAAACGTAATTCCCCCTCGAGGATTAACAGAAATAGGAAATTTACAAAGAAACCGACTGAGGCCGACATAGGCCGCCTACGTATCTCATTCTTGAGAATTCAGGTAGAACGTAGTTCAAATACAAGGAAATATATTAAAAGGGGACAAATGGGTAACCGGGGACGACATAGGCCACCTACGTATCTCATTCTTGAGAATTCAAGTCAAACGTAGTTCATTACAAGAGGGATAAAATTCTAAACAAAACGATTACATGCAAATGGGATGATTACAAGGAAATGACAGGAATACAAGCTGAAACTTCACGCATAATATCTCTTGAAGCATCTGAATTGATCGGTTTGGGCCATTCGGTGCCATCCATCTATGACAGGACCAATGCACCTCCAGATAACACTTTGCGAACCATGTAGGGTCCTTGCCAATTTGGTGCAAATTTCCCTTTGTATTCATTTTGGTGAGGGAAAATACATTTGAGAACCAGCTGACCAATTTCAAATATTGTGGCTCGTACTCATTTGTGGAAAGCACGAATCATTCTCTGCCGATACAGTTGACCATGACAAGCAACAACCATTCTCTTCTCATCAATCAATGTTAATTGATCGATCCGTTTGTGAACCCATTCAACATCAATTAATTCAGTTTCCTGAATGATTCTCAACGAAAGTATTTCAACTTCTGCAGGTATAACTGCTTCTGTTCCATATACTAACAAGTATGGAGTGGCTCCAATTGACGTTCTGACAGTCGTTCTGTAACCCAATAAAACATAGGGCAACATCTCATGCCAACCTCTGTGATTGTCAATCATTTTCCTCAGAATATTCTTTATGTTCTTGTTGGCTGCTTCAACAACTCCATTCATTTGGGGACGATAAGCAGTTGAGTTTCGGTAGGTAATCTTGAATTGTTCACATATCTCTCTCATCAAGTGAATGTTGAGATTCGCTCCATTATCAGTAATGATGGATTCTGGTACTCCAAACCTACACATCAAATTGTTGCGAAAGAAATCAGCTACAACTTTCTTGGTCACTGACTTATATGAAGCTGCTTCCACCCACTTGGTAAAGTTGTCAATGGCAACCAAAATGAATCTGTGTTCATTAGAAGCGGCTGACTCTATTGGACCGATGACATCCATGCCCCAGGCTACAAACAGCAAAGGTGAACTCATGGCATTGAGTTCATGAGGTGGTACTCGAATCAAATCACTATGCACTTGATATATGTGACATTTCTGCACGATCTTGCAACAATCACGCTCCATAGTCATCCAAAAATAACCAGCGCGGAGGATCTTCTTCGCCAAAGTGAGTCCATTCATATGAGTACCACAAACTCCAGCATGTATATGTTCCAAAAGCTTCGCAGCTTTACTATCATCCACACATATGAGAAGACCTAAATCTGGAGTCCTCCTATAAAGGATTTCCACACTTGGAAATAAATTGTTAGCCATATGGCGAATTGATTTCTTCCGGTTGAACGTTGCATTCTCAGGATAGGTCCCGGTTTCCAAATACTTCTTGATGTCAAAATACCAAGGCAAACCATCTGGTTCTACTTCAACATGTGAACAATGGACAAGTTGCTTTTTTACCTCTATATCCAAGGGATCAATATAACTTGTATCTGGATGTTTAATCATTGAGGCAATTGTGGCAAGAGCATCTGCCAACTCATTCTGTGTCCTGGGAGTGTGTCTGAACTCAATATTGTAAAATCTCTTACACAACTTTTGTATAAACTGCACATACGGTGTGATCTGTGGGTTCTTCGACCTATTCTCCTTGAACCTGGTCAATTAGCAAGTCTGAATCTCCAATAACTAGAAGCTCATGAACATTCATGTCGATGGTCATCTTCAAACCAAGGATACAAGCTTCGCATTATGCCTTGTTGTTCGTGTAATCAAATCGGAGTTTAGCTGCCATAGGATAGTGTTGACCAGATTCTGATACTAAGACCACTCCGGTACCTTTCCCTTGGTGATTTGCCGCTCCATAAAAAAACACTCTCCAACCAGGGTACGCTTTATGTATATCTTCACCCACAAATGCTACTTCTTCATCGGGAAATTAAGTCTTGAGCGGTTCATACTCTTCATCAATCGGATTCTCTGTAAGATGATCAACTAAGGCTTGTTCTTTTATCGCTTTCTGAGTCATGTACACAATGTCAAATTCACTCAAAAGCATTTTCTATTTAGCCAATTTCCCGATCGGCATTGCTTTCTGGAAAATATACTTCAACGGGTCCATCCTAGAAATAAGGTATGTGGTATAAGAAGAAAAATAATGTCTCAACTTCTGAGCAATCCAAGTCAAACCACAACATGTCCTCTCCAAAAGAGTGTAACGAGCCTCATATGGAGTGAATTTCTTGCTCAAGTAATAGATGACTCGCTCCTTCTTCCCAGTTTCATCATGTTGACCAAGCACGCATCCAAATACGTTATCCGAGACAAACATATATTGCAATATGGACTCCCTTCTCGTGTAGGAACCAACACCGACGGATTGGACAAATAATTCTTAATGGCATCAAAAGGAGTTTGACATTCTTCGGTCCATTTTGTCAAGACATCTTTTTTTAATAACTTGAAGATGGGCTCACACACCGCAGTGGATTGGGCTATGAATCGGCTGATGTAGTTCAACCTTCCTAGAAAACTCATCACCTCCTTCTTGGTCTTCGGAGGAGGTAATTGTTACATCGCCTTGATCTTGGAAGGGTCAAGCTCAATGCCCCTCCTGCTGACTATAAATCCAAACAACTTGCCAGCTAGCACTCCAAAAGCACATTTGGCGGGATTTAACTTCAAATTCTATCGACGCAGGCGATCAAATAATTTCCTTAAGTGAGTCAAGTGATCCGAACTCTCGCGGGACTTGATTATGACATCATCTACATACACCTCAATCCCCTTATGAATCATATCACGAAAAATTGTTGTCATAGCCTTCATATTAGTAGCACTGGCATTCTTGAGACCAAAAGGCATCACCCGATAGTGATATACACCCCAAGGCGTAATGAAGGCTATCTTTTCTGCATCTTCTTCATCCATTAGGATCTGGTGATAGCCCACATAACAATCCACAAATGACTGCATCTCATGCTTGGCACAATTATCAATGAGAATATGAATGTTTGGTAATGGAAAATTATCTGTTGGGCTTGCTTTGTTGAGATCTCTATAGTCAACGCAAATTCTGATCTTTCCGTCTTTCTTGGCAATCGGAACAACGTTGGCTAACCAAGTCGGATATTGCGTTACTTTCACTACTTGAGATTCGATCTGTTTGGTAATCTCCTCTTTGATCTTTAAACTCAACTCTGGCTTGAACTTCCGAGTCTTTTGTTTTGCTGGATTGAATTATGGATTAACCGGCAACTTGTGGGACACCATATTCGTACTCAGCTCTAGCATATCTCTGTAAGACCAGGAAAATACATCAATGTATTCTCTAAGCAAACGAACCAAGTCCCTTCTTTGAGCTTCAGTCAGATGGACGCTGATTCTTACTTCTTTAACACATTCCTTGTCTCCGAGACTCACAATTTCAATTTCCTCTAAATTTGGCTTGTTTTGATTCTTGAATTTTTGAAACTCTTCATAAACATGTTCGGGTACCTCATTTTCCTCTTCGTATTCCTCGCATTCGTCATCACATGCCTCATTTCATTCACTCGGTTCATGACATGACATGACATTGACAAGTTTTAAATTAATATTACTAAAATCATAAACAAACAAAGTCAGGAAAGTAAAATATAAACAGATAAGTGAACAAATTTTCGATAAAAGAGGCTTTCATTTTAATTAAAAAACAAGCACAAACTTTGGCCATGGCTAAGGGTCGTTTCACCTTTTTAAACATCACGGGGGAATTTAAAAACTCAACCAAATAAAAACTGCATAAAGGGTGGGTCTCGGGCCTCTTCCGGGCTACCACCGATTTTAAAAACAAACATAAACACATGTCTTTTCTACCAAGCTGCACGGGGAATCAGGAGCGGTGTGGAGGTCTAATTCCGCAACTTCTCCTCTGGCTCAGCATCATGAATGCCTGATGTCCCAGCCTCTTCCTCGATAACCACATTAATCTCCTCAAAAAGGCCCCAGATTCCTTCCTCGAGACCACCATCGTCGACATACTCTCGTACTAGAAATGATTGGTACAAATGAGGAATTCGCCTGGTCAATGCTTGATCAACACTCTTGTTCTTCATCTCTACTTCATCATTTATGGGGACATACCCCAAACCAAACTTTGCTCCTTTGGTGAGAATTTGGATAGGCTCGACAATTTCTTGAAAATGCTTCTCCACTCCAAAACCTGGTTCAAAACTGCTTCGGAGCATAACGGTAGCAATAATGTTGTCCACAGAAGGCATAGGGGGCTATGGAGCCAAATCAGCACCGGTGGCATTTACCAGCTCCACCGTGTAGAAATCACAACCTTGGGAGACCTCATCGATGATCGGCGCATACCCATTAGAATGACTCCCTTCACCACGAATGACCTATTCCTAGTCCTTCCAAACAAATTTCATTAGTTGGTGAAGGGTAGAAGGCACATCCCCAGCCATGTGGATAAACGGTCTTCCCAGAAGCAAATTGTAACTGGTATTGATATCCAATATCTGGAACTCCACGTTAAACTCTGCAGGACCATCTGAATTCCCAAGTTTACTGCCCATATCATGTCTCTCTACACTACATCAAAATCTCTCACATTGACCTGGTTTTGTTGAACCTTTCCAATGTCGAATTTCAGCTGCTTGAGAGTCGAGAGTGGGCAGATGTTGAGACCGGACCCATCATCGACCAAAACACAATTTATAATTTTGTCCCAGCATTTGATGGTGATGTGCAGAGCTTTGTTGTGCATCCTGCCTTCAAAGGGCAGCTCCTCGTCACAAAAACTAATTCGATGTCCTCGAATGACCTGGTTTATCATAGCTGCTAGATTGTCACTGTTGGTGCCCACGGGCACATAAGTGCCATCCAGAGCGTTCATCAAAGCCTGTCTATGCAACTGCGAACTCATCAATAAAGCCCAAACAGAAATTTGAGCCAGCGTCTTTTCCAGATGCTTCACAATCAAATAATGTTTCAGCTGCATTTTGCTCCCTAACTTTTCTGATTCAACTTCACTAATTTTCCTTTTAGGTTGATCCTTCTTCTGCACTCCTTGGGCTAACTATTCTGGTGTGTAGCAGTTGCCGGATCTGGTCATACCCTGGGTAGCATCCATTTCAATCACAAACCTTGGTCAGGCAAGAGTTTCTCTTGGCACCAAGGCAACAACCTTCTCGGGTGTCAGAATCACAAACTCTTTCTTCTCTCTAATGCTCAACGAAGCTACAACCATTTCCAGTTCATCAGGAGCGATCAGAACTATTGCCTTTGTCAAGCACCAATCATCATCCATCTCTATCATATTGATAGTGACACCTCCATGATTTGGCAAAGGATTACTATTGACATTGGGTGCGACTATCTGGAGAGAGACCACTTTCTGGTCAAACAAGTCTAGGATCTTGTGCTTTAGGTTGATACAATCCTCGGTGTCATGTCCAACACCATTGGAGTGATATGCGCACCTCTGATCAGGTCTGTAAAACCTTGAGCTAGTGTCAACCGACTTAGGCCCCACTGTATGAATATATCCTGCCGCAGTTAATCGCTCCAATAGCTTTGTTCGGCTTTCAATGAGCAGACTGAAAATTCTAGCGAGCTTCTTCTCAAATCTAGGACAGGGGGGGTCGTAGTTACCTTGTTGAGGAGGAGGCATTTGACGATAATTTGGAGCGTTGGGACGGGGTGCTTGATATCTTGGATATGAGTTGGTTTGGTAATTTGGCTATGGGGCTTGGTAGTTCGAGGGGATATTTTGGTAAAGTGGAGCTGGGGTTTGGTACACTGGGGGAGGCGTTTGGTAATTTGTCTGAACATTTGCACAGTTGGGGGCGACATTTTGGTAGTGATGAGATGAAGTCTGGTAAACTGGAGGGGGAGTTTGATAGATAGGATGGAGAGTTTGGTAGCTAGGAGGGGGAGTATTTTGATAACTAGAATGAGGGGCATTTTGATAACTGGTGGGAGGGGTATTTTGATAATCAGCCTGTGCATAATAAGCCGGGTACTAACTCTGTGAAGGTCGAGAACGACCTTAGTATGCTGAGGATTTCCTTGGGGTCTTCTTCCCCTCATTAGAGATAGAAGACACATCTTCTCTTTTCTTCTTCAACAAACCCGATGATCCATGCGAGGCAGCAACACGGGTAATCTTCTCGGTTCTTAATCCATCTTCGATAGTCTCACCTACTTTGACTATCTCAACAAACTTCGCTCCAACGAGTAACATAATTCTATCATAATATTCGGGCTCTTGAACCCGCACAAATACTTCGACAATTTTCTTTCGCAGAATAGGATGCCGAACTCTAGCTGTCTTCTTTCTCCATTTGTATGCAAATTCTCTATAACTTTCATTTGATTTCTGCTTCATTTTTTCCAAAAAATAACGATCAGGAACGATTTCCACATTGTAGGCAAATCGTTCGATTAAGTTCTTCGCCAGAGCATTCCAGCTAGGCCACTGTCTCATTTCATGAGATGTAAACCATTCCAGAGCCTCTCCACTCAGACTTCGGCTAAAAATCTGCATTAATAAAGCTTCATCTCTTCCAACTCCCACGAGCTGGTCACAGTAGGCCCTCAGGTGCGCTAAGGGGTTCCCTATTCCTTCAAAAATGTCAAATTTTGGTACCTTGAACCCTTCCGAGAGGTCCAAATTTGGATGAATGCATAAATCCTCATAACTCAAATTGGTGACTTCAGGAATACACTGTAACTCATTCATGGCCTTTCAGATCTCTTCCTTCATATCCAGCTTGGCGGCCTCTTCCTTTGATCTCCACTCTCTCTCGCTCCGTATAGTGGTCGAGCTCAGAAAAATTGGCGTAAGGCTCATTGGGGACTGGGATCTGGAAAGTGGCTTTTTGAGGTAGGGGAGGAGCAATGGAGGGACTCTGGGCATTTTGAGGGGCTTGATAATTTTGAGGGAAAGTCTGGGGGCAGGTATGCTGATTTAGGTGGTGGAGGGAAGTGTGCGGATGGATAACGTTTTGGTTTTGAGGGGGCGGACAAGCCTGGAGGTTGGCATTTTGAGGAGGGAGTGGCGCTTGGGGGTTTGTACTTTGAGGAGGAGGTAATGTTTGGTAAGAGGCGAAGGCATAATGGGGATTTTGGGTAGTTAGGTCGATGATTGACGGATTATGAGCAGGATTGGAGGGTGGGTGTTGGGCTTGTTCCACGTTTGAAGGAGGAAAGTGAAGTGGAGGCCTTCCGTCTGCTAGAGCATTGAAAGTAAAAAATGGATTAGGCAGATCTTTTCTTCTCTGCATTTCGACCCAAATTTCGGTGATCTGCTGCATCAACTGTCTAATTAGTTCGTTCTGATCAGCAACGACAGGTTGAGCCACGACAACATCAATAGGGCCAATCTCTTCATTGTTGTCACCCATTACTGCTTTTCCCTTTTGTGAGTTTTGACCAGGGAAGGAATTTTTAGGAGCCTTAGATCTTGTGAAGTAGGGATGTTCAGTCAGCTTATCGACACAGATCAGTTCTAACTACCTGTAGAAGAAAACAACTCAAAGGCAAATCTCTTAGTTTTAATTTACGACAAATAATGCAAAATATCACATAGAGGGCATATAAACACATAAGAGTTGCTTCGTTTGAGAACATGTCAACCCACGAATAATGGGGACTGATTTTTTTGAACAAGCAGGAAATTGCTCGTTTTATTTTGAGGCTAGTGACTCAAATTGTTGATGTGAATTCAGTGTTTCCTTGTAAAATGAAAGGGGGAAAAGAAAATTTTAAAAAGATAGGGGCCGGGCCTTGAAAGGCTGCGTACGTATCTCCCAAGGATAATTCAAGCCCTACCTAGTTTGAATACAAAAGGAAATTATCATTTTCATTAATTCATTTGATTGATTACAAGGAAAGTGAAAAGAAAACATGCAATAAAGCTCCTAAACAAAGATTGTGCCTTCAGAAAGGCTTCTTCTTCTGATTCGTCAAAGCACTCTGGATGCCGCATGGCCGATCAGGGGAGAAATTCAACTTGGATCCTTCCCTTGTTGATTAGAGATTCAAGATCATAGCGGAACCTGAGGCACATTCCAATGCTGTGATCTATGGCGTCGTGATAAGGACACAATTTCCAGATTTCAATCCCAACGGGATCAAATGTTTCATCATCCATTTTGATAGGGGTCAAGACCCCCTTTCGAACCAACTCACAATAGATATCCAACAACGATCTCTTAAAATACATGAAGAAGTGACAGTAGAACACAATATGCTCTGTGACCGGTACACTGGCTCTGGTTTGTCACAGGTAATGAGAGTATTGTCACCCCACATATGGGGGATTTTTGCAATCCTGATTAGGTCGCGGATCTTGGCTTTAAGCTCCACGCATTCTTCGGTCGTATGCCCATTTTGGTCTTGATGATAAGAACATGTCTTACGTACGTCCCCCGGCTTGCCCTTGGAAGTGGTTCCCTTGAGGGGTTTCAGGAAGTGTTCAGTCTGAAGACGCTCATAAATGAGATCATATGGGACGACTTTTGCTCCCACTCTATATTCTTGCAGATATGCCTTCAGGGTGATTTTCTCATTCCCTTATTTCCAACGTCCCTGGAAAGGAGTCCTGTAGATGATTTCTTCCTTGGGTTCTTCTTCAACAGCTTCAGATCGAGTGCCTTCGGGACCATTAACCTTGGCCTCTTGGTGGAAGAAAGAGTACTTTCCACGTAGGTTTTGAAG